GCACAAAAAGTTCCCCCGAGCCACCCACCTATAGGTGAGTGGTCCTTATAAGGACGCGGCGACGGGTCACACAATGCCATTATGTCACTGACCTACTACCTAGTGACGTGGTGGGATACAGCCTGACCAGTGACCTGTGGACGCGTTGGACTGGTCCACACAGTTACTGACCTGGAAATGATGTGATGGTTTCTGGACAATGTGGCTGGATACACGCGCCACGTGACTGGCCATCACAATGCTACTTCCTGCAGGTGACGTTCTACAGCTGGGATCGAACCACTGTCTCCTGAACCACTGCCAGCAATGAACCTGGTGGAAGATAATATGGTCAGAACTCAGAATCCACAAAGCATACCTACAATAGGAACGACAAAGCCAAACACATGAACGCAATGGCAGAATGTTATGCTAAGCTTATCATGTTTCCAAGACTTTTAGTTTCATCGACACATAAGACTGCAATTGTCTACGTTAAACTCATCACATACCTATCTAACAAAGTACTGACTTCCTGAGAAAACGCAGAACTTGTTTAATTATCAAGCAGCCTTTGTCTCCGTATTCCTCACACATTGAGCAGACGGTGGATGAGGTGATAACGGTAATTAAGCTCTGTGGAAAAGAGGAAGGAAATGAAGTCCATTTTATGCTAGAGTGTACCAAGCTAACAGAAGAAAGACAATGAAACCTAGCTCTACTGAGGCCATACGTGGAAGAACCCAACGAGGTACTGAAAGCATTCCTCTTCAACGATGATAGAAAAGAGATGGAGCAGAACAAGGATGGACTCTACCAGCTCTGGAGGCTGAGGAGAAAACTGGTGACAGAGGCGGGTGATGAGGAAAGGGCTTAACCAACATCCTAAGCTTATTCTACTAATACCCTCCCACCCGACCTGTGTTTATAGGGCTATCAGTCCTGTGACACTCACCACACCCAGCTATTATGGCCATACTCCTGGGGGAGCTTCGGGCTTCCCACATAGGATAGTTGTCTGTACAACCCGGAGCAGGATTGACCAGGATTGGCCAGAGGGGCAGGGCATGTACTTCAAGATCGCTACACAAATATAACTTTTTAGTGATATAATATTTTAATAACTAATCCTTGTCAGCTTTTGTTGATTAATTTTCACAGCATCATTTATTTCTGGTAATTCATTTCTAACGCTCATTGCTGCAAGCTCCAAAGGCACCTACCTCAATGGCCATCCGAAGCAGGGGGTTGATACCTACGCAGAGGAGAAAGAGGATGAAATCGAGAGGGAGAACACCATGGAAGCGCACAAAGAGAGAGCGGATGCACAAAATGAATCTGGGCATTAGGTTTATAAAGACTTGCAGTAGACTACATACTTCGTAGGATTGGTAATTGAGGCATGACAAATCAATAAAACAAATAATGTACGCCTTGCGGAACAAGGGTATGAGGAACAGGAACATGCATGCAGCATGCAACAAACTCTGCCCTGGTTGTGGTGATTTCAATCTCAACTAAACCATAGATCAAAAACTTGAAACAAAATCACCCAGCCTGGCACAGGTAACCTCTCACAATAAAACATCAAAAGTGCTTACCATAATACCACGGGAATGGTGTGACTGAAAAATGCCTAATACCTTGCCTAATCATAATACCACCAAATCCAACAACAATAATCAACAAAAATCAACAAAATACACAGAAACCAAAATAAAACTGCAGAGTGTTCTCGATTCGCAAAAGAAACGCCGTTAGACCAATCAAATGCGAGCACTGGCGTTTGCCAGCGAAAGCAGTACAGAAAACTGTGCGCAACTGTGGGTGATAATCATGGTCTGCAGTTTTCAACACCGAATCTCATAAATGCCAGAGGTCATCATGTTTTACGACTTATATCAACAAATAGACAATTGAATGGACCTCTTGCATGAACAGTTTTTTTGGAAAAAATGTATGAAACTGGGGTATTTCCAACCCCAAAAAATGGAATCTGGCGTTACTTTCTTTCTTAAAAATGGTTTTCCTTACTAAAATCGCACTTAAACTTAAGTCCTCAAGTTTTCTGCTAGAGACGCAACGTGATTGGCTAATCAATATTTGACGTCACATCTAGGGTTCGCCTGATGGCGCATCTGCGACAAATCGGTACGTTGCATGTTTTGCGTTGGGAGTGTTTTGCTGAAACCGGAGGCCTGTGAAGCAGTTTTTAAACGAGGGAAACGGTATTTGGCGATTGAAAATGTTGAAAAAACGGCAAGGAAAAGGAAAATATCAAACATACCGGTGGTGTTTTGTTCCCAACTGTTCCAACACCAGTGTTACTGCTCCTGATTTGCTCTATATACCGGTGCCGGTCTCACATAAAGAGCGTGCTCATTGGTACAAGATCGCACGTAGGGATGGTGCCCTTGCATCTGGAGCATTATGGGCATGCGAACAACATTTTGATGTACCAGATGACCTGGAAAATTACTTATATGTCAAAATGATGGGAGGAGCCGTCAAAATCAAGGCAGGAGTGACTCCCCACAAATTCGCTTGCCAAAGCCGTGGCGTTGCTGCAGAACATGTTTTGCAGAAGCGAAGCTCATTGCAGAGAAAAAGAAAGCTTCAAGAACTGCTTGCTGAACCTGCGGACGATGCAGCTCCAACAGAAGGTGGGTCTACACATTTACCTGGTTGTGGTGCTGGTTAAGTTGCTATTCAATCATGGGGCTTATCTCACTTCTTGAAGCATGATATGCATTTATTTTATCAGACACTGTATGAAATTTAATAGTATGTATTGGGTGGACTGATAAAGTAACAATTGCAGTGCATTTTAAATATGTGGGGACCATGCATGATGGTTTTTGACGAGCTCATCAAAGTAGAATTTGTGGATGGTCCTGATATTATCTGGAGTTTTCCTTTAGAAGGTGACATTATGTGAGTTATGCCCTTAGTGCATCTTATACTTACACCCATTTCTTCCCTCCAGGTGGTAACCTGGACAGTGGACCATTACCAGCTGATGGAGGAACAGCTACAGACCAACATCTTCCGACCTCAAGTGATAGTCCTGCAGCATGCTTCAAGGATGCATCTGTCCAGGTGAGTAAAAGGGATGGTGTTTGCTTGTACTTCCTTTTGTTAGAACACATTATTTATGTGTAGGGTGATAAAAATTTCAAGTAAGTTGTGCTACTGCCAGTGGCAGGAAGATGTGTAATGCAGCTGTTTCCAGTGATAATCTTTGTGTAAAGATTTTTTCATAAAGCCAGCTATGTATTTGCTCTGTTAGCTTTCATAAAGTACAAACTTCTTACTTTATCAGCCTGTCTCAAGCAAAAAAAGTCTGAAAGGCCAATTTAAAAATGAAAATTCATAATGGTACCTAACTTTTTCAAATGTTGTCATTTCTCAGGTGCACCCTGTTCGGAAGAAGTTCCGGTCTAAAGCGACTCAAGCAGGTTTACCATTAGGATGCCATGATGCACAAGCCAGCGGACAGCATGATCTTGCTGTACCTTCCAGCATGGAACATCAAGTCGGTGTGACGTCTGCAGCAGGTCACCAGAAATACAAACCAAAGGATCCATCATCCCTTGCAAGTGCCTCTGCCTCTGGTAAAGCATGTTCTGGTTCACCTTACAATGCTGACCAGGATCAAAACAATGCTAGAACTGCGATTTTAGTGAGCTCACCTGCAGCAAATGATACTGATACAGATTCTGATGGTCCCATTACGGCAGACACCAGCCCAGACTATGTCCCTGAGTCAGAGTCTTCTGACGAAGACTCCCATGGTGGCAGGGATTGGAAAAGATTGTCCCGCGAGCGCATCCGGCATTACATTGCTACGGACCCTATGCGTTACTTGGGCATTGGCAAACACAACATGTTTGTTTTGAATAAGATAGCCCAGAAACTAGACTTCAGAGAGAGCCGCGGAGGCATCACAAAGTTAGATATTGTCTTCATGATTCTGATGCGTGTTAGGACTGACCGCCAGTATCATTTTCTGGCTGACGATTTTGGTATTTCGGAGAGCTTTGTCTCTCGTGTCATCTCGGCATACCTCCCTGTCGTGGCCAGCTGTTTACGGGGTTGCATAAGGTGGCCAGAGAGCAGTGAAATCCGCAAGCGGCTTCCACTGGCTTTCAAAGCCCGGTACCCATCTGTGGTAAGCATCATCGATTGTTTTGAAATTGAGATAGAGAAACCCTCTGCATCTCTGCCACAGGCAACATCATGGTCCGAGTACAAAAAATGCAACACCATAAAGTTCCTAGTGTCTTGTACCCCAGACGGCTTGTGCAACTTTCTATCACGAGGCGTATCAGGTAGAACCTCAGACATTGACATCGTAACTAAAACAGGATTTTTAGAGCTTCTCCCATCAGGCTGCACCGTCCTTGCCGACCGTGGATTTAAAGGAATAGAAGGAGCACTGGCTTCAAAAAACTGCTGTCTCGTCCGGCCACCAAGTGTTGCTTGTGACGTTAGCCTCGATCGCGCCGATGTACTGAAGATGCGCACAATAGCCGGCCTACGCATCCATGTTGAACGCGTCATTGGTCGCTTGAGAGTTTTCAAAGCGTTGGACATTCACTCCAGGTTTCCACTGCAGATGGTAGATCTGCTGGATGACGCGGTCGCCATCGGTTGTGGCTTGATTAACCTCCAGGAAAAAATTGTGAAAGTGTAAGTCAAAGAGTCAGTGTGGTTAGACCGAAACAGGCTGACATAGGCGGGCGGTTCTACGGTTTGTCGTTGGTGTGAGCTGTTGCACTATGTACGCGTTTGTGATCTTATTCTTGCACCGTCAGCGACTCGTCGCTCAGTCCATAGGTTCCGTTGATGGGCGAAATGTGACTGTGCCTATACATACAAACGTTTGAGTTCTTCCTAACGATTCGTGTGAAAATGTACTCTGCGTTGTCGTTGGAGTAATTAGGGGATGCTACTGAACACTATGTAATGGAATACATCTTCATGCACCTACGCTTTGTGTATATAAGGTTTTACAACATGCAGCAACGGACGGATATTTATTGTCCACACAATTCAAGCATAACAGCGACAAACAGCGTTACTGATCACGACCGCACCCTGTCGACATCAGCACCGTCTCAAGGTGCTCGTCTCAATGACATCAGCTCAATCTACTGCTGACCACGTCCCTTGACCAACTCAGGGAAGACATTCTCACACCAGAACTTGCTGGCGGTCTGAATGAGGTCGCGACAGTACGCCTCATCATATCTTTCTTTACATATGTACACTGCCTTCTTCTGTGGGAAACCAGGGTCTGCCACACAGAAGAAGGCCAAGTCGCGCCCGGTCATCAGCATCAAAAGCTGCACCTGAGCGCGATGCTTGCTGACCATCGTCTGCTCCTCGGTAATGTATCGCCTCAGAGTCTTTTCGCTTGACGGGCACTTGACCTCTACCACCGCCCTGCCGTCGCTCGTCAGGCCGTCCGGCGACGCGCCAAAGATAGGCAGGTCAGGTCGGAGTACGAGGCCCGCACTCTCGACCTTCCCCACCTTCTTTGATACGGCTTTGAGCACCTGTGGCTCCAGCTCGCGCCCTCGCTGCATAGCAGCGCTGTCCTTCAGCTTAGCCGCACCGATGACGGACATCACGAGGGATCCGCTCTTGGTCTGGCAGCGCGCCGCCTCGTGCAGCTTTGAAGCGGTAATGCGCCCGAATCTCATGGCATGCCACATGCTGGACTGATGTTGCGCACGAGTTTCATTGCTTACAGCTTGGCACGTGGCCGATGTCATGCGGTTCTTGGCAAACAAGATAAAATCTTTGGCGGACACGTCTCCGTGACAGGTACCTAGGTAGGCATCCAAGAGACGGTCCATAGAGCACCCTTCCCACGGAGCCTGTGACGGTACAAAATAGTCAAATAGTAGGCCACTTGCACCCGTCTCACCTCTCCGCACCTCTTCGACCAGTTCCTTGAAAAAATCCTCACCCGCGTCCCCGAGCATGTTGCCACCAGGTGTGGCACTGCCGCTGGAGGTGTCCCTCTGATGTGGCCGCAGGTCTCCAGCTGGTACAGCCTTTACCGCGCCTCCCACCATCGAGAGACGCGGCTTCTTCCAGTAGGCCTGGACGTCCGTCACAGACGGCTCTGAGCTCCGCCTGTGGAGCCACATCAGGAGGGCAACGCCATGTTTGCAGCCTCCCTGGCTTGCCACACAGTCGATACACTGCACATATTTCACCTCCTCCTCTTCTTCGTCGACCAGCACAGTGACTCGATACCCTTTGCTGGTCACCTTGTGCTCTGGGGTCACACGTGCCCACACCTCACACTGGTTGGAGGTCCTCTTCAGTTGGACGTAACCGATGGCATCATCTCCATATTGTTCTCTTCCGGACCTGCCAGCAAACGGGGAAATGTTGTCAATGTTATGTTGCATAAACTCTTAGAAACCTGGCCTATAAAGCTATTTTCTATCCTTAAGTTATTAAGTATCTTTAATATCTAGAACATCCTCATAACACAACGTTATAAGAGCCTCCCTCATAAAGATCTACACAGGCACAGTGGAACACAAATTTGGGTAAATGATCTACCAGTGAACATGAACACATAACAAAAATTAAATATCTGAACATGGCACAACTGATGCCTGGGTTGCACACAGCATTACGCTGCAGTGCGCTACACACAACATTGAGAGCGCCAGAGTTTGTTGATGTTCACATGGGAGCGCAGTACAGCAATATGCATAGCGCATGTCGCACATGTAGCATGTTGCCATGGAACAGGGCACTGTTATTTGTCCTATATGTAACTGTTATTCTTTAACTTTGAGGTTAACTCTGGCACATGGCTTCCTGGCAGTTTAACAGAAATATCTTCCCATTTTTGCCCTGAATCTTCAGGTGCCAGGAAGGTGCCAGTCATTGTCCATTGTTTGCAGCAGGTAGGTAGGTTATAGGTACCTAAACCAACTCAAAATAATCTGGAAATCACCTTCACAATCTAATTAATTCATCTAGCTATGCTGTTCTCTCAACTAGGGATCATAATTTCAATTGAATTTCAGTTCTTCTCCTGAAAACAATGGAAACTTTAAACATTCCGTCAACCTCATAGTTAAATCACTCCAAAGTTTCTACGACTTAACCAGTACAAGTAGCTACGTTTTATTTTCAATTAACCATCCTACAGGTACTTACCTCTTGACCTTCACAAGACGAAATTCTGGACTGATGAAGTTGGTGTCCCTTCTGAAGAAGCTTTCAATCATGTCATTATCTACAGCCGGCAGATTTCTTGAATCGGCCTTCAAGAAGCCTTCATACATATCATCTACTCTTGCAGCTCTTTTCATGCCTGATAGCAGCCTCGACGACAGTCAGGAAAGCACTTCAACCTTTGTTTCAACAATCTAGACCTTCCAAAATCTCCTGCACCTTCTCACACCTTACAGAACTTCACAAATTACAACACAGCACACGTGAGACCTTTGTCCAAGCCTTTGTCAAACAGCCGCGCCAGTCTCGTAATTCCTGCGCCATTTGGGTGACCCTATATGTGACGTCATGGGGGATAAACCGCCCGCGGCTACGTTTCTCCCGCCATTCGAGAACCGAAATTTTAAAGTAAAAATTAAAGGTGATTCCCTTTGAATTTTGAATTGTAAGTGGTATTTTTGGAATCAGCAGACTCATTTTGACCCAATAAACGTTGCCACCAATTTCATGCAAGAGGTCCATTTTGTTTATTATTCATCTTGAAATAGACACCGCCATAGGCTTGTTTTTTAGTAATATTTCGTTAATTTTCATAGTGTAACCTTCAGCAACATGAATGGTAATTCATTCTAGGCCAAAAAAATATACTTAACACCTTCTAAATTGCAATTAAATATCCATATCTGGACAGAAAATGAAATTTTGATTTTAATAAAAAACTTTTAAAAGCAGATGATTGACAGTTTGACCAGGGAGCAATGATTTCGTTCAGAAATGCTGGGTTCTCAAAAATCTAAATTCGAGACTCGGAAGTAAGTTGTCAAAATGCCAGAGGTCATAGAGCTTTAAGCTTTCTGATTTCTTATAGTGTAGACAATTTTGTAAATTTTGGTAAATGTTTTAGACACCGCCATAGGCTAGTTTTTGAAAAATACTACATTTAGTGGAACAGGGTGACCAAGGACACCAATGGCGGCTGTGTATTCAACAGCTATTAAATTCAGTTCTTTACATTTAAAAGGCAACATCATGCACAGATTCTGAAAGATAATTTAAATTTGATGTTTTTGGACCATATTTATAACCCCACATCACTGATATTAGTCGATAATTTGTGGTAGAACAATGGCAGGTCCGGTAGGCTGAGAAGTTCAGCACTATGCTGATTTTGTAATTCAAGGAAACAATTTTTGCCCATGATATTACTTTTTCATTTTTAATTTTAAATTTTAAGAGTAGAAAAATAATGTTGTCCCTGACAAACCCCTAAAACCTTAGAACCATTATTTTGGAAATGGCGGAGTTGGGCAAAAATTTATTTTCGTTGTTACTTTACAGATTTTGATAAGCTGTGCTCTCTGTACCTTAATTCAAAATATATATTTGAATAATAAAACATATTGAAATCTGTTGCATAGTTTTCATTTTTGGACTGAAAAGGTCAGCTGAAAATAGTGGTCAAAATACCTTAGTGTTGAAGCGGCAAACCGGTTTTACCTAGTTCTCTATATACCGTGGATGTTTTCATGGCGCAGGAAAAGGGCGGGACAAGTTTGGTATTTTTCTTGTAGTATTTCTTTAACTGCTAAGAAAGGAGCTAAAAATATTAAGCTAGCTTTAAGATGAGGAGTGTTCTATTTTGAAGGGACAGATGCTGAAAAATACGAATTAAAATTGTACTAATATTTTTTTTAATTGAAAAGAAATATACAGTCAAGGAATACGTATACACCTTACGTGCGAGAATCCTTCACCGATCGTGGTTCCCGGCAAATTCCCGTGGTGCCCGGTTGGAGCTCCTGCTAAATTTTCAATCGGTTTTTTGAAGCATTTCTTGCCTTTCCCAAGCGTAAAAGTCAGGTAAGTTCATTCATCACTTTTGCAGATTCAATTCGCATTCCATATTCTCCGTGAATTTCAGCAATATCTCGAATTTGTGCAGCGTGGGCCCTTGACTGCGTCGCATTTGTCTCGGCGTGGCCGGCCAAGGTGATTTGGGATGGGCTGATCACGTGGGCGAAGTTTAATTCCCTTAAATCTGTTTTCATGATGCTTAATGTTGCTGGTTTTCTGCATGAAATGAATGTTCAGCTTTAAATATTGCATTAAATGTTAAATCATTTTACCACACAAGTTGAATTTTTTATTTTGCTATCAGCTAATTCTGATTCAATTTTGCACCAAGTTAGTTTGTTCACACCCATTTACTTGTGATACTTGACTTGCGGTTAGCAATAATAAGTGCATTTTTAATATTTACAGCATTTGATTTACATACAAACACTACAAATGTGAGTGCTTCAGTTAATGAAACTATGTCAAGTCTAAATATTTATCCATCAATCAATTTTGGCTGCCTTATCATACATCGACTCTACACATGTTCTAAAAATTGCAGACCAAGGTTGTTCAAGGTCAGGTCACTTGAAGTGACCCGACATGTTTCATGTCTGCCATAGCCACACTGAGTGGCCGATCACTTTGAAACTTTCAGTGATTGCTAAGAGCAATAGTATGTACAAAATGTATAGGTATCTCAGAATTTTGATATCAATGAATTAAGGTTAGGTCAATTTTGTGATCTCCCCATCATTAGTCAATGGGAGAGAATGAAAGGTGCATCTTTTGGATGAAAACCATTATAAACACTCTAACACTGAAGTACAAGTAACTAGGATACACTGAGCATGAAAATGGTACCCCTGACCCCTGTTTATGCCCCTGAGGTCATTTTCGGTCACGAATGGTATCTTGGCAGTTTTTCGCAAATAACTTTTGATAGAGGCATGCTAAAGTGATGAAAATGCCTTGGTTGTGTTCAGCTCGTCGATACAGATTGAAACAAAATTTTGCCTTCAATGACCTCTGGTGACCTGAACTTTGACCTGACCAAAAAAGTGACTGAAGGTATTTCGACATATTTGGTGCTCTTTCGAACGTCACCTTCTGCGCATAGCTATGTGGCCCAGGAGCTGGGTTAGGAGGGGGTGTTCAAACACCACCCCTCCCAGCAGGGCGTGGATATCCAGTACCCCAGTGGGGCATGGGTTAAAAACTGAAAAGTTTACAAGACAAAAACATGAAGAGAAATACATGTGTAGGTAGAAAGTGAGGCCACATAACAATGTTTTTTACACTTTTACTAGAATGTAATACAACATCCACACAAATGGATTTTCTTGGTAGTCTTGGGAGAGGAAAAGGTCCTAAAAGTTGGAGGTGAGAGCAGTAAAAAAAAAAAAACATTTGGATTTTGTTTCCTACCCCAGCTGACAAATTTCTGGACACTGGTATATGATACACTAGCTGGAACACAAGGTCACAAGCCATGGACTTGTTCATACCAAGAATGTCCAATTACTTCATCATTTGTCTGCTGGGGTAATTACCTAAGGTTATACTGAGAATCTTGATTCCTTGAGGCAGTGATATTTTGGCTATGTCATGATATTTTGATTGGCAGGTTCATGATTGCTAAAATCCTGATTGCTGCTGCACTAAATCTATTTCAGCTGTTGCACCCAGCTCTAAAAACTGTTGAAATTCACAAAATGATAATATGAATGGAAAGAGCATGTCCTACTAAGCTGGAAAAGTAACACCAATCATCAATACTGCCAATGCTTTTTACACCAAACATTGATGAGCAACACCTGACCTCCCATTCTGCCATGCAAAGGCAAAAATGATTGTCATGTCAGAGGTCACTACCTCAGGCCAGAGGTCATCCCTAATGTTATTGGTTTTGCCTTTGTATGGCAGCATTGAGTCAGGTAAGGTTAAGCAATGTTTTGGCATTTCTGCTTGTAGTGAGTCTTTTTGGTAAATGATTATATGAACAATTTTCTAGGTGGACATGGTTGTCACATTATAGTTTGGTTTTATTCAATTTTGAGCTGAGGGTGCAAAAGGCAACTCACAGCCCATCCAATCAGGGTGATGCATCTGTTGTGCTGCATTCTGCCTGCTGTGGTGCTGGGGAAGAGTGAAGGGCTGTGATTTTGCCATGTTGGTGGCCCACATGATAAACCCTTTCTGAGCTGCATGGGTTTTGTCTGGACCCTGAGGCAGAGTATTAGCAACATCACAAGTCATCAAATGGTGTGCACTGTGCAGCCTTATTAGGGACATTGGCCTTTCACATTGAGTGAAACACATATAATTTTGGTTGCCACAACCTTTGTGTTCTGTGGCGATGGCCAAACTTAAATTTGTAACTGGTAATGTTGCTCTGAAGTAAAAATTGCTACCAGAGTTGGTATTGAATGACATCATTGCTCAGTTCACAACTGATCATATGCAAAACCCTCGCAAGCATTGCTGTCAATACAAGGAAGCCCTGTGTAGAGTTGGTGCTATGAGCTATCTACAACAGCATTTAGCTTTTGTTCTGTAGTGATGTTGCAGTACGTCATTTCAATTATGTGAGGCATTTTTATGTATCATGCCCCATGATCAGTGTAGCAAGTTCTTGTTTGTTAGCAAAATGGTTATCTCCAACATAACTTTTGCTTCCTATACAATTAATGCATTGTGTTGTCAGCACGACTCACTCATTCCTGGGAACTAAGAGTGAAAAGAATCGTTAACGAGGTGCTTTTAAATTTGTTTTAAGAGTATGTCTGCAATTTTGTCCTTCCACACAGTCACATACTTGTCCTTCTGTTTGCAGTGTTGCTGGTTCTGACCGGTGTCCCTCTCCCCCACAGAAACCATGTCTGCCGACAAGGACGAGCTGGTGCAGCGGGCCAAGCTGGCCGAGCAGGCCGAGCGCTACGACGACATGGCCGCCGCCATGAAAAACGTCACAGAGACCGGTACGTGGATCACTGCGGGAGAACTGGTCACAGCGACTGTGTGATAGCGCAGCAGTCCTGGCCTTTGCTGATGCCTTCCATGATAGCTTCATAACTAATTGAGTTGCTTGTTAGCTGAATGTAACATAACAGCATGGAATAACTTCAAGATAAATGTTCGTTGTTGGTAGTCATACTGCTTGCATGACTGAAGTTCATTACACCACATTGTTTGTGCTTTGATAGACCATAAGAAATGCCTTGGGGACTAATTAAGAATTTTTATGCTGTGTTGCTCCTTTGTACATAATGTGGAAGGGTAAATGCCTAGTAATCACATACTAATCCCGCTGTACAGTGTAGACGCGCACTAAGCTCCAACAGCCAAAACCTGTGCTAAGTGATTTGTGCTTATTGCAGAGGTCACAGCCATAATTGCAGTGTCATCGGGAAATAGCGTACCGTTGGATTCATATTTTTATTGGTATCAAATTTATAACCGTCGTACATTAAGGAAATTTTCAATTGAGGTTACATTGCAAATATGACAAGACGTGGCCGTGCCTACGTCAGTTCTCCACCATGTAACGTAAAGCCAACTTTTATGACAAAGTGGGTGTCTCAGTCATGCAGTTTCAGACTCTTGACAATGTTGTCCTAAAGGACGCTAAAATTTGGCACGGATAAAATGAATGACACCCTGCTTTATTGATGAAGTTTGTGTCTCTCCAGGTAACGAGCTGAGCAACGAGGAGCGCAACCTGCTCTCGGTGGCTTACAAGAACGTGGTGGGCGCGCGGCGGAGTTCCTGGAGGGTCATCTCCTCCATCGAACAGAAGACGGAGGGCAGCGAGAAGAAACAGCAGATGGCCAAGGAATACCGCGAGAAGGTCGAGAAGGAGCTGCGCGAGATCTGCAACGACGTACTCAGCCTGCTCGATAAGTTCCTGATCGCCAAGGCTACCACGGCCGAGTCGCAGGTGTTCTACCTGAAGATGAAGGGCGACTACTTTCGCTACCTGGCCGAGGTGGCCACCGGCGACGCTCGCAACAGTGAGTGGATGGGGCGGCACACGGGGGGGGGGGAGTCAGCCGCTGTGGCAGTTTGGTAGGCTGGGTACGGACGTTTGCATGTGAAGTTACGATATCTTATCAGTTGACGGTCCCTTTCGGATAGCCAAAAACAAAGCATAATCGTAATAATGTGAAGTCGTACAAACGTGTAATCGTATTACGTTTTATGTCCATGCAATTATCTAGCGGTGTTGTGTAATGTGCTTTGTTTTGCACCCGACAGCGATCGTCGAGGACTCTCAGAAGGCCTACCAGGACGCGTTCGAGATCAGCAAGAGCAAGATGCAGCCGACGCACCCGATCCGGCTGGGCCTGGCCCTCAACTTCTCCGTGTTCTACTACGAGATCCTCAACTCGCCCGAGAAGGCGTGCCAGCTGGCCAAGCAGGCGTTTGACGATGCGATCGCCGAGCTGGACACGCTCAGCGAGGACAGCTACAAGGACTCCACCCTCATCATGCAGCTGCTGAGGGACAACCTAACACTCTGGACCTCCGACGCCCAGGTCAGTGCCGCTCAACTCAGTCGGCGCCGGGGTAGCGGGGAGCTGCGGTATGATCACGTTTGTTTGGGACTGTAACTATTCAATATTTATTGTATTGATACTGGCGACTGACAGGCTTGCAACCTGTTGCTGCGCCGTAGAGGTACAATTGTCTTCGTTGATATCTACCGGTTTGATAAGCCGGGTAAACCCGTGCAGCCTTACGATTGTCTTATCGATAAGTGGTTGTATTCTTCAAAGCTTATTCAGACCCATCGTTATCGTTTTGTACGGAGTAGGCACCATCGTCCGGATGTGGACGTCTGCTCTGGACTTAATATCGTTGGTGGTAAAGTCGGCTACATTCCTTCGGTTTTGACTGGTTTGCCTCCGTAATGCCCGAATAGGTTGTTCTCTCCTCGTAGCGTTTGGTCTGTACTGCCCCTTCCGATATTTTGAAATTGCATTATGCTGACGGTCGTCTGACTTTTCGCAGGGCGAGGGCGAAGAGCCTCAGGAGGGTGGCGACAACTGAGAGCGAGCGAGCGCGCGAGCGGTGGAGTGCCAGTGACTTCTGAGGTTGTGTATGCGTGAGACGGCTACAGTGACGACGCACGCGGCCGGGCGGCGTTCGGGCACCGACTGGCGCCGCGCGCGCGCTGCCGCCACCGCGCGGCGCGCGCGCGTGAGCGTGTAGGTCATTCCATTGCACGTGTTATGTCAGTGTAACAGTGCTTGTGTTGCTAACACCTGTAAACTTTGCTCAGCAGCGCGGGCGGCCCGGCCCGGCTGTGCGGCTTCTCTCCGTCATTCTGTCCGGACGGCGGCGCGGCGCCGAGCCGATATCTGGCGGCGCGTCTGCCCGCCCGCCCGCCGCGCACCGCCCGGACCACCGTGAAACCCAGCGAGCTGCGAGACCGTCGCTTGGAGACGAATTACATTGTAACATGCCCTGTGTGTTATGTTTGGTGTTACAATAATTGTGACTTTCGGCACGTAATTTATTCTGAAGCTTATTCGCCGGTAGTTGGTAATTTATCGGGTTTGCTCCTCTCGGAACTGATAAAAATAAAAGCTAAATTGTGCATTGCCTGTTTGATCCTGGGAAGGTGCTAACCACACAGCCTCGGCAATGTGTGACGTTGCGAGAGGTGGGCTGGCGATAAACAGAAACCATACAGTGAACGCAAACATTCAGGTCATTGGAGGGCCCAGGTGTGGTTGGACGGCCTGCGGGAGAAATACACGCAAGTCCATCATCGTTGCCACTCGTTAGCGGAAGCGGGGCGGTCACAGTTGCGACCATTGTTGCGATATTAGGGGGCTTTGTGGGTGGCTACGGATCAATTGCTATAGTTTCGCTCTTCCAATCACGTTCACGCAAAACTAACAAAAAGTCCGTATCATTGTTGTACCTAAGCGAATAACCGTTGGGTACTGTAAGCTTCGCTTCGCCCCTCCAATGCCTTCGGAGTAGACGAGCAGTGGGTCAGCACTGCTAATTTATCATTCAGGTAGACCGCCCGCTGTTGCAGCGTCAGGCCCGTCACCTGCTGTCGAACTCTCGTTACCAGATAACAAGGTTCTCTCCAAATTTATGAAAACAGACTGGCCAATGAGGGAAATCGACGACCGAGTATTGGATGACACTCATCCTTGACTGAGTGCGTGGAACTTCATCCATCCGTAAACTGCTTGCTGAAAGGCGATTGAAATAGATCAAGGATTCGTACTTTCCTAAAAAGGGTCTCAAATATTACCTATGTCGCGAGTGACCTGCAAAGCTGCGGCCACGTTGCTCCAAGAGTCTGTTCCGAGTCGTCGGCGTCCACCACACCACACGAACCTTGCACGAGTCAGTTGTATTCACACACTGAATAAATATACACTACGCCAACATGAGTTTATGGAGTATGTAGCATGACAAACATTCCGGGCAGTTGACATGAACAGTCGAACACGCAGCAGCAGATGGGGATTTTGCTATCGCTAGCAGCAAACCCATCACGCAGGGAACACATATGGCCTCTGTTAGTGGCTCAGAATCGGCTGCTGAATTTGTACAGGGTGGGCGGGTGGCGTTCGGCTGGGCCGTGCGCGCGACAGATCCACGGTACATGGGTGATGAACACTGGTGTGTATACTAAAACGGCACCCTAGCGGCACACAGCGTAGCCGCCGGCGAACTATACAGCAGGCTCCTCGAAAATTACAAACGCGCTTCTATGCGCCAAGCTAAGGGAGATCGTGCAAGGCACTCGCAGAACGGCCACAGTATGGGTTTCGCCGCTAAGGGCGATATCACGACACCTAACTACGGCAGTTTCGCACTACGAACAGTGACCGTTTGGCCTAGCTACACTGACAGGCTGTCATGGGATGCAAGTCAATAGGGCGACTGAGCTTAGGACATGGACCTTCAGACACAAAGTCGATATCGGACGGGACAGAACACATCAGATCGAAACAGCTCGGGCACAGCAATACACCAACAGACAACGCCACGACTGCGGCACAGATCAATAGCGATGAACCTACGGCCGCGTCCATTCAACATGGCCGCCTGCATATAGCACATGAGAGCCGCCATTATGGAACGGACGATGCAGGCTTCAGAACCAAACTGACAACTGTCAAAGTGTCTAAAACTCCTCACTATCAGCGTAGCCGCGATACGTAATAGAAAAGATCAAGTGCCGGACAAACGCGTTGCGGCCTATAAAGCATATCAATTACTGCAACGAGACAATCATTCTGGGGCACCTGATAAGATTGGTTTCAACCATTAATCCTATGTATATCCAATGGCAACTACAAATGTTTACGTAGAAAACTGCTTCAAATAGCGGTCGATTTGATTTCTAGTATGATTGTCAAGCACGAGTCTCATGAAGCATTCGATCGCCGATCTTATGTCAGAGAGGCTGCTCATGCCTTATCTCGTGTGTACCCGTGGGGTTCTATCGACAAAATTGAGTCTGCACAGACTGGCGCAGCAGCTGGCCTGTCATGGATGCTAGCGAGCGGGGGATACCGACTCACATCAAAGATGACCAAAGATATCCTTATCAGTCCAAGGGTCCACCCGAACACTGACACAGGCGCGCACACATCAGCATCAAATATCCTTTCAGATTCACAGACTGAGTCACTTTAAGGACTCACACGGCGACTCAATGAGCAGACTCATCATGATTCTACGCATGAGTGAGCGCACAGCCCCTCCGTACGACGGGGAAACGCTACAGTCATCACAGACACAGATAAATGTGTAAAGAAAGGGGAGAACACTGGGGGTGCTACGTCACTCAAAATCAGATCCAAAACGTACATGAACGAGCGAGCGACAGATCAAAGTTTGTTCAAGAGTTACAATGACGGGAAGACGAGCATATTATGCACCAAGAGAAGCCGTTAAAGCACTTGTTGCTTTGAAAGGCTCGTCACTACCCACCCACCCCACCGCCAAGCCGTCTTCCCATCCCATCCCTTCCCATCCCGCATCTCGTCCCTTCACATTGAAGTCTCTGTGAGGCTGGGCACGGCCTCGTACGGAGGCGGGCCCGCCCGGCCGTAGTCGCTGTACTCACTGCCGTAGCGGCTGGCGGCGGCCGGTCGGCGGCCGTAGCCGGACGGACCCGCACTTAGCGTCCCCGTCGTGCCGTAGTCCGAGGCCACGGCGGCAGCGGCTGCGGCGGCGTGCGCGTGCGACGGTCCGGCGCGCCGCTGTCCGTGGTAGTTGCTATAACTGGAGTGTACGCTGGGAGGCCGCGGCGGCTCACCGGACAGGTAGCCGGCGTTGGTGTGGCCCCGCTCGGCCAGCTCGCTGGAGGAGGAGTCTAGCAGCTGGGTGACGGGGTTGGCGTGCCGCCGCTGCCGCTGACTGGAGCGCGACCGGCCGCTGCGCGTGCTGCGCCCTGGTGGTGGGGGAGGGAAACACGGCGCGGCGTTAGTTTATACACTACACAGTACAGGCAGACCTCCGTGGGCATCGGGTGAGGATATTTCAGCTGAGGACGTTATATTTCTCACGAGTACAGCAGTGCAATAGGTAAATAAAACGCATCAAGCCATTGTAAACACAATGCTGTGCATTACGTCAGGAAAAAAACGCAAGATTCAGCCTCAATCAATCCAGCAATCAATCAGTGACTCTACAGCGTCTGTACTGTATTGAGCATCGACCATCAGTTTCCAAACCAGCACCCCCACCCCATCAACCCCTTTCCTCACCTGACGACCGCTGCGAGCTGCGAGACATGGCCCGCCGTTTAATCTTCCTAGGTGTCATGGGCGCGGCCCCGACCGCCCCTGTCGCCTGGTCGCCGGAGGGCAGCACCGCCGCTGGACTCTCGGGTCGCTCCTCCACGCGGTGCGGGCGGTACTCGATGTGGAACGCCGGGGAGAGAGGCCGTGGCTTGCTGGCAGCTGGTGGGAGGGTGAGGTGAAGAGTCAGAACAGGGAGAGATACAACTGTTTGTTAGTAGGTAGTGTACTGGTTATTGGTTAGAGTGGTTGAGAGAGCAAACACAAGGGACACTGCAAACAGGGGGCAAAATAATGGGACCCAGTGTGTAACAACGCCAGAACAGCACTAAAAATCGGACGGGAAGAATGCGGAGTAGTGTCTTGAAACAATGACAACACTATTTGAACACTAGATACAAGAGGCGAAGGCTTAGAATATCAGCAAAACTGGAAGCAAGCCAGCACATGGTGTCAAGGCAGACACAGACAGACTTTGTCATTTCATTACAGACAGACACAAGCAAACCAACCGCATCACTCGAAAGGCCTGAGGTCAGTCGCTAGTCTTAAGAAGCACCAGCCACGAAACAAAGCACGTGGACCGTGCCAACACGTTCCATTGGGATTAACCAGCGAGAAAACGTATGCGGCTCCTCAAAGATGGATGAAAAGACGCCAGCCCAGCTAGTGCCGATATTGATAGCTGAGAGTTTAGGTGCTCAGACACACTGTAGATTTACCGGATCACGCTAATCACATTATTCAAAGTCCTCTCGTTAATAAACAAGTTTTCCTTGAACATTTACTGAAGCTATCAACCTGCCAATGCACCTCACACGGCTGAGGCAAGCTACAAAGTCTGCAGAAGCATGCACCACTCAACATGCAGAGTGGAACAACTCACTGTTTCATCTTGGTTTCATCGGCCTTCGATCAACGAAACCAGTCTCTGATGATTTCAGGGACTAAGCATAACTGAGCTAGCGTACGTCACAAACACAAAGAAAACGCCATCTACAGACAGCTGCAGACTGGAATCACTCGCACAGGCACAGGAGCTAAGCATATGGCGATATGACAATATGTCACAGCCAGGGGAAGAATGGAGCCAGTGGACGCATTGCAGCCACAAAACACACAAAGCTGCTGGTATGACTTCACAGCAGGCGGTCAATCTCTCTGCAGGCGGTCTCGCTCTGCAGGCGGTCAATCTCACACACATGCGTGGGACGACGCAGTAGGTATTGAGCAGCTACCAAACCGAACCGCACCGCCGTGGGAAACGACATGCGCGCTCACCGCGCCACCTGCGGCCGGCCGACCGAACTACGAGTAGGCGGGGGCGCCGTAGGGTGGCGGAGGAGGCCCCTCGCTGGCCGAGAGCAGTGGCAGACGGGTCGGAGAGACGAGAGCCGGCTTGTAGGTGCCGCCCATGTCAAACCCGCCCACAAAGTCGACTGTAATGGGGAACGGTGTGCGATTGGAAAGGTCGCGTCAGGGAATCTCAGCCAATCACGTCGGGAAGAGGGCAATCAATGGATATGTGACGTCATACACAGGAAAACATGCGTGCTGAAAATGGATGGGCACCAAAAACATTGACCAATGAACATATTTCACTCGTATCAATGTCAATATCACTTATATTTGCAGTATAAGTGGACTGAAAACCAGCTCGAAGAGCTCTCTCAGTCGGTCCCAGCCCTCTGCCCTTCCACTTGCGCTGCACCATATCCCCCGGTCCTCAGCCATGTCCCTTCCGTCCCCAACTTACAGCTGTCGTCCTCCCGACGCCTGGCGACGACGAGACACAAAGCCAGGATAAGGCCCGCCACCTGGCGACAGACGGTACCGGTCACGATCGGGGAATCAGTCCGTTGATCAGAGAATCTGAATCGGTCAGGTCACGGGTCATGGTTTACTATTACTAAAGTAATCTTGATGGCTTACAGATACAGGCCACGGTTCACGGGTTACGAATCCCAGCACCACGAGCAATCGCGAGGGCTCAGTCACGGGTTACTGATCACAATATGGCATGGTTCGTGAGTCACGTGACATTCATAGGTCACGGTCACGGTTCGTCAGGCACGCGGCGTCTAACTAGTAACTGCGTTCGGCAGAGGCGCGATTGCAATAGCGACGATGAAGCGATCTTTCCGGTATATGCATCCGTGATTTTGTGGTGAGATGAAGCAAAGGAATTCAATACTTGAGGCTGGTGTAATTTCGAATATGCGCTCAAAATATTTACATTCATAAGGGCATATCTTAGAGAGCGATGCAATCACCCAACACACATTGCAGCCCCACCAACTGGTTAGGACTAACGGGCCGTTGATCGTTCACTTCTTGACCCTTACGATACTTATTACCCCACCTCTACCCTCTAATTCCCCCCCCCCCCCCACTCACCGCCAGTGCCAGGTGAATCCCGGCATGCAGGGCCTCCACGTGTTCCACAGGCAGCCAGCAGCCGTCCACGCGGATGGGCCGCGGTGGCCGGAACGGATCCTCTGGTACCGTACCGTTGGTGGCGTACACGGGTACACAGCCCGGTCCGGAGGCTTCCCAGAAGGGCGCGGCGCCCGTGTACAGGCTGAGCAGCTCGTTACTCTGGCGGAGGGGGGGGGGCGTCAGTGTCGACGGGGGTAGGTGATCAGTAGTTAAGATGGCATTGTCATTGGTCAGTACCGATGGGGAAACGACAAAGGATGAGGGGGCAGCAGGGTCAGTACTGTCGGGAAGTGACCAGACGAAAAATAGGGGGAAGGCAGGTGAAAAACATAAATCTTACTCATAAATTCGAGAATAAACTGATCACAAATTGTCCAAGCATGTAACGCACCAAGATCTGGAGTCCACTAGAAAAGCCGATGCGTAAGATTCCATATAGTTCAAACGAGCGTATTGCCTGTTGTTATGAGAATTATATTATATGAACTAATAGCACCAGTTACAAAAACACCCTATGCGTTTGGACCACCTAGATATCATGGTAGCACCTATCGGAATGCGTCAGAGCTACAAGGAAGTACAATCAACTAACGTCAGATACGCCGTCGCCATAAACAATATTCCAATGTAATTACCCCACCCACAGACGCACACACACGACCAAATAATCTGATCGACAGCTGCTAACTTCCCAGTCTGTGTGTTTTGCGTAAGAAGTGCGGTGCCCCCCCCCCCCCCCCGCCGCTTCCCACTGAATCTCTCCCACGGCACTGTCCATCGCGACAGGGGGGAGGTATTTGCTAGTATCTTAGTATTCGGTGCCATTATCGGCCTCAGACGCACTAGCCAGTAAGCACCTAGCGACGGCATTTTATCTATTTTTTTTTTATCTGAGCAGGTCTTAGTGATGGCAGTTGGTAACATTTAGCGCTGCTTGGTATATTCAACCGGTTGTTAGGTACGAACGTTGATTAACGAATTATCGGGATGTTCAGTATAAGAATCCTGAACAAATCGAATGTCAGTGACCAAAATGGCATGGACCGTAACGAGAAAACTTGCTTGGTGGAATGTCTTGTTATCTTAGGGCCTTAGGGGTGAAAATATTGAATATTCTGGCACTTCATCCTTGCCTCAAAGTAATTACCAAAGGTTGCACGAAAATAGCTATATAACAAGTTATAGCAGCAGTCACAATAGCAAATGGGGAATATTTGTTTCTGGTCCCTAAAAAGCTGTTTCTGGCACCTAATTGCTGATCAGCCCCAAAATGCTTATTCGACCCTAATATCTGAATCTGGCACCTAATTGCTTCCACACAGCCTAAAGTTGCCAGATCGTCTAGTTGAACTCCGTATTTGCTGTTTGCTGATTCAGCACCAAAACCAAAACATCCAGCACCTATTTTATTCCACGTTTGCCTACCTAATTCGCGTAATCTTCCTGATTTTATGTATCCTAACAAACATGAACTTTGCATTCGGTGATGTCAAGTGCCATTTTCGCCAGTGGAGATAATGATTAATGCCATTTCTAGCCAAAAGAGAATCACTAGCCAGCTATGGTGCAGCATAGCAAGACGCTCCTATACCAGCCCGCTATGTAGAGATTATTGCACCCTCAGCCATTTTAACGTGAAAAGTTTGGATCCGTCACTTCCAGCCAGGCTCTCAGGTCATAAACTGGAGTAAAGCAAAATGTCAACTCTGAACAGACATGCCACGCAACCGGCCCTCTTTTCAATATTATTAGCTTTCTGGCTTTCTGCAATCATCGTCTGACTCCATCTCGATCAAACGCAGCGTCCGGTTTCTACAGGGGCGTTTGACTGACCGGCCACACAATAACCAAAAACAAAATCAAAGCTTCATGCACACATAAGTAAGAAACGGATGAAAAAGGCACAACCACGGCACAACTCTGCGCGGCAAACAACGGACAATGTCCCACGCAAGATCCCGCGTTTCTTCAGCGGCCTTGAACGGAATGAAAACATTACATTTCTTTTTTGGAGCTATTTGATGACGTCAAAAAATACAATACCCGTTTTAATGGTCAAAATCGAGACAATTACTCACAAAAATGTTTCCCTTTAAGCATTACAAATAAATACTTTTAAATATTTAAATAACATTGTTTTTTCAAACAAATCAATATCATTTGCTTACTTAAACGTCATATACAATGCTGAGATCACTACAGGGCTGTCTTAGAGTGTAGCTGCACTGGCAACCTTTAGGCTAGACTCCAGGGGTGATTATACCAGAACAACATGATTCTACCAGCCAGTAGTTCATTTTTCTACTAGATTGGTGCTACGCTCAGCATTTAGGTGCCAGATTCAGAAAAAAGAGTAAGGCGTACCGATGAATAGGTGCCAGAAACAGCTAATTAAGGCCATTTTCCATGATTGGTGCTGGTATCCACCAAATAGGTGCTGAGGACCACTTTTGGGGCGAGTCAGCTTTTAGGTGCCAGAAATAGCTTTTCTGGGACGCAATTAAATGGCGTCCATAGCAAATACACATTGACATGCGTCCAAACAATTTAAGAGTATTTTGCAACAACAAGCACGACCTAAAACACCGCCAACTGAAAAAAAGGTCAACAGCATGACAACATATTGTGGGCGGAAGCAGGTAAATGAGCATACCTTGTGATGACACTGCAACAACAACGCATGACAAATAGCTTATTTTACAAAGCTTCCAGCTGGGCGATCAGTATCATTACGTGGTGGCATGGTCCAAACAAAGGGGGCGGGCAGGCAGAACGCATACGCCCATTGGGTTTCCGGGCGCGCCCATTCTGTCTCCCAGCCTCTATGTATTACCTTTTCTACTGTGAATTGCGATCACGCATTGTCCCACACCCACTGATGTAAAATAGGAAAATTGAATCACACTTGAGACGTAATTCAGGTTTTCTCATTCCCCTACGTCTACTCTGTTATTTTCAGCATCGTACACTCGTCCCCCCGCTCGTAGTCTCACAGAGTAGTCGCGAGTTTTCGCACGCCGTGGGTTTAGGGTCACGTCGAGGGCGGAGGTCATTACGCGCTCCCCGTACTCACCCTCTGCAGTTGGCCGACCTCCAGGTAGAAGCACAGTACGAACACGTTCCAGCCCAGCCACACCACCGTCCAGACCACGTACTGTGGGCAGAAAAAAAATACATTGAGCGTCAGCAGGCGCATCAATCATCTCAATACTCATGGGATCATGGCGCCGTGTACAGTTGACATGCACTCAATGACTAAAGAAAACACGTTCGTCATCTCATCGTTGATTATACCCGAACAGAGCAATAATACTCGTATGTTGTTCAATTTTGCTAAACGCTATTCTTCTTTGTCGGGTGGTGAGAGTTACAATACAACCAACGAGCCCCCCCCCCCCCCAAGATATCCTTAGGCTTCACGTCGCATATTGGAGACTTCATAAATTATCACACTTCAGCAGATTGACAGCTCAAGGACGCAGCGAGTTGTCCTAAAGCGCAGCATCACCCATCCTTGTCCCAAGTATCCAGAAAAACAAGCATCCAGGGTCGGTCCATGTGTGCAGAGGACGGACATCAGAGCTCAAAAGACAATAGGAAGCTACTACCTGGATAGCTATTGGTGATGTGAGAATCGGATATCGAATAACTTATTCATCGTGTAATGAGTGTTTGCTTGACACAAACCCACACACATCAGCATGAAACACGAACAGCCTGAGCCATCCCTGAACACGTCAGCTCGTTCGTCTCGCTTCACCGCCCGGCCGAGCTGGCAGCGTGCCAATGCTCGCTCCCTGAGGTGAGATTCCTCACTGGTCGCCCCCGCAGACCAGTAATAATACGACTGGCACGGCACAGCTTGCCGGTGGCAGTCGTCCTGATGAGCCGTCCCCTCAGTCCGTCATGTGACGTCATAGGAATGATGTGACGTCATACACCGGTGGCATTCGCCCTTGCCAAGGCCCTGTTTCACCGGTGATAGCAGCAAGCTACTATCAAATTGCGCGAGCTGACGTAATGTGATGACGTCATAGTGCTGACGTAAGGGGCAATTCTGGCGCACGATTGCCGCAATATTGTTTTACGTCATCAACTAAATGTTCGAAGTTAACGTCCAAATTTTCCTTAAACCCAACTTATTTTAAATACATTATATTAAAAAATATATATTAAAAATAAATATACTATCATGACTGCGTAAACTCTTACTTTTAGAGGCTCATACGTCACTTAATGCCGCGGCCAAGGTCGCGGCAATCGTGCGCCAGAACTGCCCATCACGTCAACAGTATGGCGTCATGACATGACGTCAGCTCGCGAAACGTGATAGCAGCGTGCTGCTATCACCGGTGAAACAGGATCACCGGTGAAACAGGGCCCAAGTGTGATCAGCCGTCGCTTTAGTCAATCATATGCCATCATAAGAATTTATGACGTAATCCACCTGTGGCGGCTGGGTCCAGTAGCCATTCCAGACGCGAGCGAATCTGGCCGGCCGGCCGGCCGGCGCGGTGGGGGGGGGGGGGGGGAGCAGGTGCAGCGGGGGAGGGGAGAGGCCACCAAAGGTCGTCTGGGCGCGTCGGCCGACCACAGGAAGTGGGCACAAACGACTGGGAACGCGAGGGGTGCCGGTGCCAGCGCCGCGGTCAGGGTGCCGGAGCCGGCCGGCCGCGGGCACGGCGCCGCGGTCTGGATACAGTGATATGAGGCGCTCGTTTGGATGCCGTAATATGGCCATTTTGATGCTGGTTTAGTTGCCGTAATATACAGTAATGAGGCTCTCACACACTGGGAGTTACGAGGCGACATAAACTGACAATGACAGGAGCTTCACAACGGCAAGGTAGTAGAAGTGCAACAAAGGTAGCTTGCAGATAATTCGTTCCATGCAGTGTCATCAAACATTATGATGAAATTAAAAAAACATTGGGGGGTCAGACGACCCCTGAGGAGTTTGCTGATGAGCATCACAATACAAGTGAAGATTATGATCTCACACCAAGCTTTCACCGAGGAACCATAAAGATAAAGCAATGGGTAGCGAATTCACACGAGACAAATGAGGAAACAAAGTCCCAGGTGAGAAATACTCCACACCTCAAGCACATTTGTTCGCGTTCCATGAGACCTCAGTTCGAAAATCATCTTCCGCCGGCAGCCCGCGCTACGGCCCGGCAGTCCCTCCCCTCCCCACGTATTACGGCGCTGCTACAGCCTGCATTACAAGTTACAACAATGCATGCCATTGTGAGTGCAAGGTCGGAGCGGCGTCTCCGTTCCGTAATTGGCGAGCGGCGCTCGTTATTGGCGGACGGCCCAGACACCGTCTGGTATGCGGTCGAGCAGACGTTTACGTTACCACACATAGGATTCCGAGACACTTCTGAGGGAGACTGGGATCTTTATTCTTGGATGTCACTGCACGCGGGATATGAAATGGGAAATGGGGCCCAAGCTTCACCACTCATGGAACTAAAAAGTACGGATCTGACCCTTGAGCCCCACTCGCGCTTTAAAAAAGATCAACATTTGTGGGGCATCTTGTCATAGCACGCCACTCCCAGTACCCAATGATTATGAAAATTCCACAGGTGACAGTGTGCTGTGTCAGCATCTTCTAAGTTCTAACCCTGTCACGCATCTGTTCATCGGCAAATACATCGTCTAAGGTCGTTCTCAGGAGGCTCGGGTCCTCCAGAGGAAGCTGCATCGAGTTGCTGATCACTGCCAGTCACACCGCCGTTCATACCTAAATCGGGCTGCTGCCATCCCCTCAGCAGTCAGGAGTTTATACAGCGAGCTGTTGCTGCTCAGAAACTCGGCAGTCCAAACATCGGCCTATTCGAGTCTCGAACGCGTCTCGATCGATAAGTTCGTCTTGTTCCGCGTTGGTCGACCGATAGTCGTCGAGGGTGCGGTCCGCTTCACAAATCACAAATTACCAGCTGTGCCTACCTGGCTGGCTCCCACGGTGTACTGATAGCTCAGACTATATAACACACAGCCAACACCGGTCAAATGTCACTCCCGCCTCCTCTCCTGCAGCCATGAAGTTCGTCGTTGCGCTCGCCCTCGTTGCCGCCGTCGCGGCCCAGGCCCCTCCGACGCCCGATCCCTCCAACCTGCAGTGCCACTGCAGCTTCGGCATCCACAACCTCCGCGACGACACCATCCTCTTCAGCTTCCGGCCTCTGTGGGAGAACGCCTGCGACGAGAGCGCCGACCACCTCTGTCAGGAGGAGTGCGTCACCCAGAGGGACGTCCTGGAGGCGGCCGGCAGCTGGAGCGTGCTCGTGCCCGAGCGCAACGAGACGGTGGGTGACATCGCCTGCGGAAACCTGGGCCGGGACGAGCCGACGGGCGTGCACTGTGGCCTGTACCACTCGGTGTGTGACCAGCTGCCGCGCCGCAGCAGCCACGGCCTGTTCGAGCCGCTCTGCTGCGCCGATGGGCTGTACGTGCAGTGCAGCTAGGACACCACGCCGGCCGGATACTTCAAGTTCAGAGAACTGCTTAGGGACGGCAGCTGCTAGTCAAGCTGCGTGGTAATGTTGTTTGTTGAGTTGTTGAATATACATGTGAAAGCTGGTTGAGAGTTTTGAAGCGTGTCACTTTTTAGGAGCGCTGCTTTCTGCTGTTCACGGCGACATTTTAACAGTTCGACACGAATGAACTGGAAAACCTCGACAATCCCCTAAAGAAGGTTGGATAGTTGAACTCGTGCGCAATGTTGTAAGTCGATTATATGGCTATCCATGTCGCACCGAGCATCGGAAATGTCAATATCCATGCGCTTAAAACAAATTCTAACACTTTAAAAGGCTTCTCAATAAACACGACTAGCAAATTATACGCAGCAAATACCGAATCATCTGAAGCAGAAACAAAAGATGAAGACCACTTACATAGATACTGATTTTGTCAGTAATTTACGGAGACTGAAATTACTTATATTTTTGCACGGTGTACAACTTTATATAAGCTAGTTTCACAACATTATTTGAAATGAAGTGAATGATACAAAAACAATTCACTGCACAATAAACTCGGATCGTTGAAGTTTAAGGGCGCCAGGACTCAGCTGTTCATCGGTGCCCACCATTGCACATTTGCACGGGACGAAAACACGCGATGCGACACCACCACAAACGCCAGACCTGCCAAACCACAGCCTGTCGACCAAACAGACAGGCGATCGGGAGGCGGGTGCTGGAGACGGACCCCAAAAGGTCGGTGCACGACACCTAACCACCGATTAACGACAGCATACGACACCGAACCACCGGCAAAGCAGGCTTGGTACGGAGACTGATACACAACACCGAACCAGTGATAAACTGTGGAACACGACGCCGAACTGTTCTGTCGGTGGCTTGTCGGTTCCGACAAGCCGCATCTTTGTAGCCCCGCGTCAGTTACCTCACATGACTGACGTTCACGCCGGTATGGGGCGTGAACGTAAAACGTACGCCGTTGTGTGTTCCAAGGCTGTCATGTAAAATGCAGTAAATTTTGTGCTTTGTGAAATGTATATGAATATGTATTTGAATTAGTGCCGTCCCGAATCAACCCACCCTTGATGACCGCTGGGAAGGTATGAATAGAACAGAAACGTCAAATGGTGACTAAATGGACCATAAAATAGCCAAATAATAGCCGGACCAGTCACTGACCGACCGCCTACAGGCTGTCATCGCACCTGTCATCAGTTGGCGTCTCAGCTCAAGCTCCGTGCACGGGTAGCACGCGAGCCGAGTATGTTCACGTGCTCAACTGAACCACCCAACTCCATCAGTGCCGCCGCCAGTTCAAAGCCCCACTTGGCACCCTGCCTGATCAGTGGACACTCAGCCACATACTGACCACGCTGCTCAGCGAAAGGTAGAAAGAATGTCGCGGCGGGCGCACGACCCACAGACAACCGCGCTCGGCTGGCCGGATATGACTAACAGGACGGCGACCCCGTCTGGCCGGGAGTCTGAGTGAGTCACTAGGCCGGGAGTCTGAGTGAGTCACTAGGCCAGAGTCAGAGTGAGTCACCGAGTTTCAGTAGTCTTAAACTCACTTAGTATAGTATGCGTGCAGACGACAATGCTCTCTGAATGTGAGAATATTCCGAGGTAGTGCGTATCCATAACAACACCGTAAGATTGTTAACAACCTTAGAGAGCAAACATCACTGTCCCACTGGCTAACTTCTCAGAGTTATGCAGAGAGTCGGGCTCAGACTGAGTCGGACTGAGTCACACTCTCTTCTCCAAGGTCAGCGAAACGGCCGAGAGAATAGAACTCAGCATGTGGTTGTTCCAGCGGCGACACTGACATTCCATTCCATAAGCAATGAGTGACACTACCGAGATGCGAGACACGGTGTGTGTGCAGCGAGAGAGCTCCGCCAGTCGGCAGATATAATACAGCCTGACGGGGATACTGGATGACTTCTCCACTGTGGACAATGACTCTCCCATGGTGGTACTGACAGTCCTCTGTGAGTAAATGATTGTCCCAATGGGAGAGCTCAGTGACCAGATAATGACGTGCTGATATGGCCATGGGGGCCTCAAATCTCTCCACAGCGCTTGCCAGAGCTGTGACTGTCAGAGATTTATAGGCCGCGAATCCGTCACATGCTTATTTAATGACAAAATGCACGCATACATACAAAGACTTAGGCTGAATCCGGGGAAATCACGGTTACATCTGGTACAGAACATCGACAGATGAATCCATCGCCGAGAAGAAAAAGAACGTGGGCCGTCAACTGATGATGGATTACGGTAAACCGAGACCTCCACCGGCTTCTCGCTGGCAGCAAAACAGCAAAGCAGTCCACCAGCATCCACCGACCCCCAACCACAAACCGCAGAAAAACGGGGATATTTCGCTCATAAAATCCCCCGAACTGCACTGCACCGTGAGGCGACTTTCACCTGCGACTCGGGAATGGAGAGTCCTTGACCGGCGACTGCAAGACAGTCACGATGGAGGGAGAGATTCGATCGGACCCTCAGCTATGATACATGGACTGACTACTGACCAAACACCTCAACTGTAACGTTATTCCTAACTCAACTCGATCTTTTCCTACTGTCTTCTTAGCATCATTTCTACTCATTATTTACCGACTGTCTGAACAAATTACGCTAATTCAAGCAGCACGGAACAATCTCCACCACAGTCATTAACTAAGAGGACTGAGCAGAGCCGGTACTCACCACCAGCAGGTAGCGGACTCTGTGCTGGTACGCGCCGAAGAAGCCGAAGATGACTGCCACCATCTGCAGGAAGTTGGCGATGATGGGTAGCCACATGTAGCTGAGGAAGTCGAACGCCTGCCGCTCGATGGTCGCCAGCTGAGGGAGGAGAAGGTGTTGAACAATAAAAGACCAATAAAAAAACAATGATGAGCCAGTGACTGTTTGTAAACAACTTAAAAGCTTCAGCCATCTTGCAAAGCCCTGTGACAGGACAGAATAGGTGCTCGAGTGCCAATGTGAATCATAATGCTGTTTCTTCAAACGACAACTCAGCTAGTTTTATCTCTTCATGAGCTATCACCATATTCTTACCAGCTGGATCACACATATTGTGATCAGGCCACATTTTGCTGTGCAGAGTCTCATGGCATTCCTATTGTACCACTGAGGCACCACTCATGCTGCCTTCTTGCTGGAGCTACTTAGGAACACCTGAAATGAAATCACAGTCAGTTCACTCTTCAACTGGCAAACCTCTGCACTCTTCATACAATATGAGCTGAGCTCAGGGCTCAGAAAATAAATTGAATGGGTGGCTGCTATCTAAGGTGCCTGCTCAGCAGACCTTGTTTCATGGCACCTCAGAAGACACCAACCAGCCATTTTGCCCATGCATCACCAGTGCAAATCTTGTGTGAATGTTTAACTTGTCCCAGAAAAGATAATGCCACAAAACTGCTCTATCATTCTACTCTGAAACTCTCTTGCCAGCTGCAAGCTGACCTTATTGAAAGTGTGGGTCGAACACTGTGAGTCATCGCACCCGTCACTTAAAAGCACTCAAACTCACTGCTACTCTCAATGAGTTAAAAATTTGGCACCTCATCCAATAGGCCACAATAGAAGCATGATGTGCAAACCACAAGATTAGATGTTCAGTTCATAACTGAACCATCAAAGAAACTACTTCAAACAAACACCAGTTAAAGCTGAAGATCTCGCACTAACCCACTGCACCTGTCAAACAAAGGATTAGCTTGTCACCAGCCTAGGCATGAAGCCCAGAATGATAATGCAGATGTCAGCATAGTAATAGGTTATACAGCCAAAATTTATCAGATTTGATCTCAACTTTACAGACACCAACACAGCTCATCAAAAGTCAATCTGGTCCTCTCTGTAGTTTAGTGTAAAAGGTGTCAGCCGTCAGTCCCCAAGCTATCTGGCAGTGAATTCAAGTTTGTGAATGATGACCAAGAGTTCCACATTGACATTGTTTGACCTGTGTTCCTTTTTTAAGGCATCTGGCACCTGGCAGTGAGCAACATTCTTGCCTCCTGGGTTCAGCGTTCTCCCAGGTCAAGGTTTAGCCCTTAGACCTGGAGAGACTTAACAAAAAACTGAAATTGTAGAAATTGTCATCAATTAACAGAGTGCGAGTGATGGCATGTGATCAGCGCCTGGCGTCACGGTCCTGCTCAGTGGGGCATTGGGGCCCAGTCCACAGCCACCAATTCATCTATTTGGACAAAGGTAATTTATAAACTTAAATTTTAGAAACATAGCAGTCCAGTCGTGCGATAGATTGGGGGTGGCCTCAGCCTGTATGCTAACAGCACATTGGTAAAGTGCATACTTACTCAAATCACTGCATCTCAAACAATGAAGGACATCAAAGTAATACTGCACCAACTCATTTGCTAAGACGCAAATGCAAAAAAAAAATTCGACCTATATCCTTCCGTTGTTCTTTGCGTGCGCGTTTGTCATAAGCTGCAAGGTCTAGTGAATGAAACGAACAGAAATAATAAGCAATAAAGACAAAGGAATATGACGTCATGAGATAAATTTCCTTCCTGTCCCTTGTTTTATGCTTTATTCGCCTCGTGACACCTCGCTAGGTGGCAGCACCGTAGAACCGTATAGATAGGATAGCGAATGTGGCGCACGAGTTACGAATACCGGTAAACGTGTATTTCTGTATCAGCTTCAGTGGAAATTTTATCGATTTTGATCCCTTTTATGTAACGTTTTGGGTTTTTGACCTTTGGAGTAAATTACCCTGCTATCGCTAGTGAATATCATACAGCATTTGACTTTTAATCTCAGTCTGAAGCAGCTTACAAAGACGCGTGGCAATTCGTTAAATGATCTTGTTTCCATTATTAGAATGGATATATTTCAGGCAATAAGGTGCATATGCAATCTTTCATGTTGTAGCAATAGCATGGTATGACAATGACATGACCACACAAGTACAAAAGACAGGACTCGGACTACAACTACTAGTGGCATTTGACCGAAATCGGAAGTCAGAAGTGATGGCTGCCAACCCGATTCCACTGCTAACAGCAGCTGTTCCACTATGCTAGGGTTTCTGAGGCAGCTTCCAGCAGCAGGCTGCAGCCCTGGAAGGAAGGAACTGAGGAGTCTTGCTGCCAACCCTCAAAACCCACTTGCTGCTGAGATGGCTGTTTGTTTCAAGGAGGTAGCTGAAGCGATTAGACCTACAATTAAGTCTGTTGCTGGCATGTGTGGTGCAGCACAATATGCTACATGTGTTCTGCACATGTGTCCAGCAGAGCACAGAACATATTTAGCTCATTGCACCTCACCTCAGTCACCCCCTTACTCAGCATTGAATCGACAAATGGTCTGCTTTATTAGTTACAACCTCTGCTCAGTGCTTTAGAAGTTGGTGCAGTATTGGTGGCATTAGAGGCATTGTAATCAATGATATACGTTCACAGCTGGCCTGAATTTGCACATATATCTCTTTTGTTTCCTGAACTATATCAACATCATATGATCAATGGTGTGAGAATACTACCTGGGAGAGGGAAGCCATCTGACGTCCTCGGGTGTTCATTCATACCTTCCCTTCAACAAGCCTGGGGTACCCTTAAAGTTATTTTCATTGCCAGGGCCATTCATCTTTCACATATGTAACTGATAACTGAATGGAAGAATGTAAAAGTCACAAATTTTTGGTGTCACTGGTCATAAGGCTCCACCCTCTGAAGCCTTATGAATCTGAAGTGATAACTCAGAACTGAGTTTGAATTACACAGATAACATATCCAACCCCCTGTCATTGGGAGCAGAATCAGCCTCTTCTGAACCGAATACATCCCTCATTCCCTGCTCAGTGCTCAGGCTAGTAGCTACTGCCTTTTGGCCCTGACATGCAGATATCATTAGCAAAAAGCAATGTGAAATGAACATGTCCCTTCGCCTTCCGGGGCGCCGTTCGAGCAGCTGGTTTTGTAAGTCTGTTCCATTCCATCCCACTGGTCAACAGGTCATTTGAAAGGTGGAGCGAACCCGCACTGAACTCACCGTTGGCCCGCACCAATCCCTGATCATTCTACATCGGCACCCGAGCGTCCACGCTGGTTTCTGAAGGCTGCAATCTACAGGTCTTTGAGGGCTCCACGGTGGCGTTTTGGGGCCCATCGCAGATTTAAGTTCCGACGGTAGTCAATGAGGACCTTATGCAGGTTTCCGAGAACTCCATGCCTATTTCTGAGGGCCCCACGTCGGCCTGTGACGGGCTATAAAAGGTGAATGTCTTATGCCGGCATATGAATGCTCTTAAGATCTCAGGGCGGTTCCAAACTCACCGGGCGGTACCTACCTACGTAGAAAACCGTTACGGCGAGGGTTCAGACAATGTGCCCGGAACCTTGCTCTTTCGGCGGATTGCAATATCCTTATCGGCCGCCCTTACCGCCCTAACATTGGTTGTAATCACCAATACTGCTTACGAAGTGCCACGGGACGCTTTGTTCAGGGCCCTTTTGACTGTGAAAAGATGTATGATGGGCTATGAGAATCATTATTCGTGATCTATGAGGAATTTGTCGTCGAATTATGTGCATTGCATTCCAATTTTGAAAGAAAAAGTATTCGAAATCCGAGGTCTCGTGAGATTAGACCGGCCGGTCTGCCTGCGGAGCGGCCGCCGGATCCTACCTATAGTAGTTCAGGAAACGGCCACCAGATGTCAGCCACTTCTGAGTCACGAGGCGAATTGGCTTCCATCATAGATAAACTCTTCTATCTGGCTAATAAGAGATAATATTTCTCATTTGATTTCCATTTTATCATTCATTTATGCCTCATTCCTTAAAAAGGAAGATGTGCACAGTGTGCACCAGGGCACTGTGCATTGTGCAATATTGATGAGGTTGATGAGAATGTTGGATTTTCGGTCTTACTGGTTTTCTACGCTGTTCAGATTTACATATTTTAAATTAATTAAAATATTCTAATCAAGAGACATTTTTCCAAAAAAAATAAAACTTCAAAAACCACAATGCAAATAAATTCTAAAAGCGAAAACATGCGGGACAAAATAGAATACTTGAACTTCAAGATGGCGCTGTCCATATTCTTGTGACTTGCTTGTGACAAATCTCAGCGTGAGTGAAGTTCCTTGAAATTATTAGAATTTATCGAATTAAACTGCGGTAAAACTCAACAAAACGCAAGTGATAGGGTGGTAAACTCACTTTCAATGCTTATATACTCAAGGCCACCAAAAGTGAACACATACATACTGAATAGAAAGGGATTTTGGTGAACCCAGCACTAGACTGAGCTGAGACTAGTCGGTGAACACTGAATCCAAGCCCCAAGGCAAGGAGGGTCAGTCAGAATGTGAAGTGTGAAACATCAAAATTCATAATCAAAGGCCAGAATGACAGAAAAAAGTTGCTGCTGGTATTTGTATTTTCAAAAGTCAGAAGTTAACCCTTACGAGCAGTGGTTCCCGGCTCCCGCATGCGATAGGATGAGCGATAAAAAACGATAATTATTGCTGTTAAGTAAATCAGTTATCGTTATCGCAAACCTTTCTTATCTTTTTATCGCTCTCACAGGTCCGAAAGTTAGTTATCGCGGAAAGCACTGCTTACGAGAAAGAATAACCGCTGATTGTGAAAGCATCAGGTTATTAGTAGAGCAGATGTCACAATGTTTTTTCAACTGAGGAGAAGCGCTATACACATGCTATATGATGCTTCTTTCTAACAAAACTTAAACCCAACCTGAACCTAACCTGACTTAACCTAACCTACAAACCTAACCTAAAAACCTACAAACCACACCTACCCTATAACCTACAGACCTACAGCACCTCTCCTCAGTTGGAAAACCTTTGTGTGATGTCTGCTCTACTGGTGCCAACATCACTTACCTATGAGTTAAGTTATTTGATACCGTTTTATTATTTTTCATTTCATGTTTTTTTACGTGAGGGACTGGCAAAAGTTTTGGGGTTCTGGGTGAAAGATACCTGCAGCTGCCATTTTCATTTGATTAACCTGGCCTCAGGTGATAATTTTACCATTGGAGAAAAGCGAACTTGGGTCTGTAGGCCTTAGGCCATGGCTCTGGCTTCCTCTGCCCTTTTGTCTCACCCACTGTGGCCTGCTGCAACCACTGTATCTCATTCTGGTTTCTGAATACGGACTGAAATGATCCCTGATGTCAGATGTGAAATGCAGATTGTGTTCGGAACACGCATTCTCGGGTAAACACCACGGCTCAGTTAACTAATGTATTAATCTATGCACATCGGCTCATTACACGCTAGTAACTACACTGACTGCCCATCAGGCCGGACCTACTGTCCGCCGGCTCATCCCCGAGCTCCCCTTGGCGAGCCAACCGCTCAGCCCCCAGCCCGTCTCGCCGAGCAACCCGCTCAGCGACTGCCGCCGCCGGCGATGCGCCGCATTATATAGGGGGGCTGGGCGCCCGCCGACCAATCAGCGGCCGCCACGTCACCTACGTCACTGGCCGGCCGAGACTGCAGGCTGCAGCGTCGGCGCACGCTGCCGGCGGCCGATACGAACGGCCGCCGCTCCCCAACACACACCCCCCCTACACAAGAGAGGTGTACGACCGCTCACATTTTACAAGTATGTACAACACTTCACAACGACACAGTGCACGATACACTACCGCGCCCGCGATTCGCGCAGTTCAGGGACCCCCGCCTGACACTGTACAGGGGCAGCCGCGCCGCATTCGGTACGGCGCGGACGGGCCGAGGGCGGTAGGAGGCGACTCAGGCCTCGCGCCGCGATTTGGGTGATGCCGCGCGCGCGCCACGCCCACCACTCGCGGCAAACCGCACGTCTGTCCATCGTACGCTTTCAGGTGGTCGTGGTGCCACATCTTGGTTTTACCGACGCCGTCCCACACTCGGTAGATGGCCCCTCTTCCTTCGCTTCTTCCGTGGCCCCACGGGCCCTTGTGCCGCAGGCCGAACTTTGGCTGCCCTCCAGCTGCCGCTCGGAAGTCGCGCTCGTTACCGACTACGCGCTCGAAGGGGCGTGTGGCCGGCTTGTTCTGCACCGGGGCCCTTGGAGGTGGGGTGGGCCTTTTCTGCCTCACCACTCGATCATTCTGACCTTCAGAGTCCAAGGCCCTGTCCCTGTTTCCCCGCACCGAGGTGTTGCAAGGCGTCTGATAGCTGAGGCGCTGTCGGGCGTGATTGTGCGGTGGGCTCTCTTCTTGCGCCTTCTGCGTGCCGCTCCACTCCACCGGACTAGCGTCCCCTGCGTCGCCGTCGACACCTGGACGGCTGGTGGTGCGTGCTTCTTCGCCCGCCACATCGCCAGCCGAGTTGACCTCGCCGCTGGCCTGGGCGGCCTGCCGGTCAGGTTGGCCTGCGATGCCGATGCTGGGCGACCCGCCCCCGCAACGGCTCGTCCTGGACCCGTCGGGCTCGACCAGGTCCCCGCATGGAGTCACTGGGGTTGGTCTGTGTCGCCATCGGTCCAGTCCTGCTGACTTGAAGACGGCCCGAGCGGTGCAAGTCACCAGGGCCACTGCCCGCGCGCAAACCTGTGCGCACTGCCTTGCCACGCCAGTGTTCGAGGCCCCCGATCGCTCGCGATGCCCGAGCTTGTCGAGCTGAGGTCGGGATGCAGGCGGAGCCTCGCTGCCCGCCGGCTCTGATCGTATCGTGCACACGAACGACGGTGTAGGAGGGCACCCTTGCCCCTGTCCTGTCGCGCTACAATCCCTCGATTGTGTGGGCTGCCCTGTCGTAGGGGTCCCGTTGAGGGCAGGTGGGTCAGCCACCCTCCGCTGCCACTCACGGTCGCACCCCGCTGCCGGTGTGTCCCCCCGCTGCCAGCGGCCCGCGTGCGCTGTGGGGCCCTCCATCACCGGGCGGGCAGGCATGCTCACAGCCGCAGTCGCCGGGGCAGGCGGGCGTCCCGCCCATCGCTGAACCCCACGGCCGCACCCGGGGCAGAAAGGCGTCCGTCCGCCGGCCTCCTCAGACGAACCACGGGGGCGCTCCGCCCACTCCAGGCCCGCCTGCTGATAACCGGGTGTGACGAACCGCCCCACCTGCTCGTTTGCGTGTGTGCGCCGCGCCGGACATTTGCGGACCAAGTGGTCGGGGCTGTTGCAAAAGAAACAGCGGCGCCCACTACCCCGCCTATTCGGGTTTGGTGGCCCTCGTTGGGGGTTCCTCGCCCCTGTCCCGTGCCCCGTGCGGTAGGCGTCCCGCCTTCCCGCCGTCTCAAGGGCTTGCAGAGCGCGCTGCAGCTCTCCAATTAGCCTCTCCAGCGCGTCCAGCCGCGCAGTGCCGGGCGCGCCTCGGTCTTGCACCGCCAACGCCTCGCCCTCGCTGGGCGGGCGCATTGCTCTGAGTGCGTCCTGCTGCCTTTCGAATTTATCGGCGACCTTCACGGCTTCGATGAGGCTGGCCGGGTCCTTCGTCAGCACCCGCACCCGCAGCTGCTCCTCACGGAGGCCGCATATGAAGCGGCTGACGACGGTCGCTTCCACGGACGGGTCGCCGGCTCTCGCCCCCGGGTAGGCCTCCCGGCCTGCCTGGCGCACCCTGTCGGCGAAATCGCGTGTCGCCTCACCGGGCTGCTGTCGGATGCTCGCTAGTTCAGCGTGCGCCTGCATCGCGTTCTTTGCTGTGCCGAAGCGGGCTTCCAACGCGGCCACCGTTTGCTGCAAGTTGCCTTGAGCATCCTCCGACAGCGAGGCGAAATAGTCCAGGGCGCCATCTTGCAGCAGGCTGACCAGGCCCTGCAGCCGATTCTCTTCTGAGAACGCGATCGTTTTCGCCCGAAACCGTCGGTACCATCGACCCCATGATTGATCATTTACCCCCGTGAAATTTTCAAAGTTAGCTAAAAGTAAAAGTTCTCTCTCCATGTTACGTTACTCTACTGAGCCGATTCAAAATAGAATAGAAATAAAAAATTTACTTTAAATGGTGCAACCCAACGAATGCGTGTCCGCTAGTGTCCGAACCGTCCTACCGACCGCGCCAGTTGTTCGGAACACGCATTCTCGGGTAAACACCACGGCTCAGTTAACTAATGTATTGATCTGTGCACATCGGCTTATTACACGCTAATACCCTGGCTGCCCATCAGGCCGGACCTCTCGTCCGCTAGCCCATCCCAGAGCTCCTCTTGGCGAGCCAACCGCTCAGCCCCGAGCTCCACCCGCCGAGCCACCCGCTCAGCGACTGCCGCCGCCGGCGATGCGCCGCATTATATAGGGGGGACTGGGCGCCCGCCGACCAATCAGCGGCCGCCACGTCACCTACGTCACTGGCCGGCCGAGACTGCAGGCTGCAGCGTCGGCGCACGCTGCCGGCGGCCGATACGAACGGCCGCCGCTCCCCAACAATTGCATGGCACAGTTGATGAGCTGCAGTAACCAATGTTAGAAATATATGCCATTGCCATTGCACACTAATTGCAATAAATCCACATCGCCTTGGGCCAGGAACCCAGAGTTTTGCTAACAGAATAAGAAGTTTGCATTTGTAATTTATAGAAATGTTCAGTTGTCCCTAGTAGGGCTGGTAACTAGTAAGGGTCATGACCTAGATAGTGTGCACACTGAAGTAGCTCATTGCAGTTCCTGTGTGCCAATTTTTCAGTTAGTGAAGGAAGTGCAGTGCTGTTGGTTCCTCATTTCCAGGTACCTATTTATCACATTAAGCCTGGCAGTAGTGGCTCCTGAACAAAATGTCAATCAAATGAACAAATACTCATTGGTCAACAGTGAATTGCTATGCTAATAAATTTACACTTCTTGTGTCCTGGGTAGTGTAGCAATCAACTATCCTTATGTCTCTCACATCTCTTTTTCTGCCACCAGGTAGCTGCATTATAAGATAATCATGTGTGGCGCGACCAGAGAACATGACACGCCTCCGCCATCACCGTTCCGTGGCTCCGGCGACGAGGACGAGACTCTGGAGCCCGATGAGGTGGTCGTCGATGACGATGGAATGGTTCTGGAGGAGGTGGAGACGCTGGAGGAGGGTCCTCCCCCTGAGGACGAGGACGACGACATGGACGCTGCTGCCGTGGAGGAGGAGGAGCCTGTCGAGGACATGTCGCGGCTGACTCTGGACGGCCACAAGGGGTCGGCGTTCTGCGTGGCAGTCTCTCAGGCGGGAGACGCACCTCTTATCGCCTCGGGTGGTGAGGATGATTGCGCGCGCGTGTGGCGAGCCGACACGGGCGCTCTGGTGCTCACCACCTCCGGCCACAAGGATTCCGTAACTCAGGTGGCTTTCAGCAGTGATGGCAAGTTACTGGCCGCCGGAGACATGGCAGGACTGGTACAGGTGTACCGCGTACTGGGAGGGGAGAAGGTCTGGGAGTTTGACACCGGCCTGGACCTCACCTGGCTGGCCTGGCACTCTGTGGCGCCGGCGCTGCTGGCCGGCACCCAGGACGGACAGGGCTGGATGTGGCGCATTCCTCGCGGCGACACCAAGACGCTTGCCTCGCACGGAAGCGGTTTGAGCAAGGCGGCGCTGCTGGCGGACGGCGCCCACCTGTTGGCCGGGTATGAGGACGGCTCGGCGCGTCTCTGGCAGCTCCGCTCCGGTCAGCCGGTACAGCAGTTCAGCGGCGCCGCTGCTCACTCGTCACCGGTCACCTGTGCAGCCGCGCACCGTGATAACGTCCTCCTGGCCACCGGTGCTATGGATGGCTGGGTGAGACTCTACAGCGCTACATCGGGGAAGCTTCTAACCACCCTAGCAGCTGCTCCTGATGCCGGCGCTTCTACTGACGCGGATGATGACGAAGGCGGTCCCCAGTGTGTGGAGGCGGCGGCTTTCGCCCCGACGGAGACACCCCTGCTGGCCACGGCTTCTGTCGGCGGCGTCCTGACTCTGTGGGATGCTGTGGCGCAGCGCGCCCGTCACCGTCTCTCCGACCTCTCCGGTGTAACCTGTCTGCGGTGGACGGCGGACGGTACCCGGCTGCTGGTCGGATGTCTGGATGGAGAAGTGGTAGAGGTGGATGCGCGTGCCGGTGGGGTAGTGAGACGTCTTACCTCGGTACCCAGCAGTGTACTGGACATGGAGCTAACAGCGGACGGTAAGGCCGTGGTGGTGGCGATGGATGACGGAAAGGTGCGACTGTTTGACCTGGCTCAGCCCGCGGCTACATAGGGACGACGAGGTGATCGCTCGACGGGCGAGGTGCCACTGTTTAATGTAAATGGATATGGTTAATATCTGGTCATCGGAGCATTGTTTTCTGAACATCTTGTTAGGATGCTGCAATAATGCCGATCGCATTCGTATTTCAGCAGGCTTTTGCTACTTGGATCCGATTTTGACGATGATCAGGAATTCATTTGTGTTGTATTGTTGGGCGTGGCTATGCCTGCGGAGAAGTTTATATGTATGACGAAAGTGTAATGTTTTCTTCGCATCATGGTAGACATGCTTGAATCCAACAGTAGCGCAGGATTATTGTCAAAAAGTTGTTTTTTGTTCGGTACTACGGTGGTTCAGAAATCAGATACTTGAAATTGGTTTGATAGTCGATATCGAACGAGGGTCTTAGGGACTCTTTTGTAATAAACTGCCTTATCTTGAATAAATCGTCTACGCATTTGGCAGTGACCTTTTTTGCACTGAACATTTACGGTGGCGGCAGGGCCTCCTCTAACATACCCACTGGGTGGGCAAATGCCCACCCAGTCACCACAATTGCCCACCCAGTGGCGTCGATTTGCCCACCCAGAAGCAAATGCAAAAATTCTGGTCCGGCCGGGCGTCCGGTACTACCTTTCTGGTCTTAAGCAAACTGGATGCTGTTTGAAGGTCAAAAAAAGTTTTATGGTTGCCCGATATTCAGGGGCGTAGCCAGGATTTCCTCAAGGAGGGGGCCAAACGCACAGGGGCCCAAGATAACCCCCTCAAAATCCAAAAAGCCATCTGGTTGCATCCAATATTTTTTGGAGGGGGCCCAAATAAATAGGGAAAAATATTTATTAACAAAAATATTAGAACTTAGGGGGTAAGCAGTCCATGGGCCCCTGTTAGATAGGCCCACGAATAGCTTCATAGAGTCGCCAGTCGGTTTTGAGGGCGGTCTGAGGGCCCGTAGGTCGGATGAGGGTTCTTCAGACCGTCAGAGGCCCCTACAGCGCATGAGAGCCTCGTAACTCGTAAGCCGTCTGAGGGTCATATAAGCCGCCTAAGGGCCACTAAGACCGACAAAAGCCCTCCTTGCACTTGCAGAGGCCCAGTCATGCCGACGGAGGGCTCTCTTAGACAAACTAAGGACCCGTTCAGGGCATTTGAGGGCTTCCTCAAACCGATAGGGGTCCCTCAGATCGACAGTGGATCCGATCCGAGCTCCCTCAAACCGATATAGGGTCAGACCAACAGTCGGAACGCATTGATTCTGTTTACACACCGTTGGACCCTAGTTGGACCCATCCCATCCAACTGGCCCCCTGGTTTCAATAGGGCCCCAAGGCTCTAAAATTGGGGCTCTCTTGGCCAAAGTATAACTACTCAGCTGTGTCAAAGGATCTGCCGCAGGGGCCTTTGCGTCGCCAAGGGCCCACTGTGTCAGCCAGGGGCCCCTATAGAATAAGGACCCCTGGCTTCCAGGGGGGCATGGTCCCTTTGGCCCCCTCCTTGGCTATGCCACTGCAGGTGACAAACGTTCTTCCAGGCGACCAGGGGGCAGGGGCCAGGCGACCAGGCCCCCAGGCGGCTAGCCCTCAAGCGACCGGGGCCCCCTAGGCGACCAGGGGCCCCAGAAAACCGGGGGTCATCGGATGAGTGCAGGGGCCCATTGGGTCATCAGAAGGCCAGAGAAATGAAACTTCGATATCAATTTTCTTCCGAGTAAAAGACGTTTTATCCAGTGTTTGAAAAAAATATCCCGGGGCCTGAGGGGCTCTCCCATGGCGCGTTTTGCGCTCAAGGGAGGGGGCCATTGCCCCCGTGGCCCCTCCCCCTTGGCTACGCCCCTGCCGATATTGTTATTCATGGACAAAGCCAGCTAAATCTCTAAATACGGCTGAGCTGAACAAATAAGCAAGAATCATTACCGGTTCGGGTAGCCTTTACCAGGGGCGTCGCCGACGGGGGGGTCGGGGGGGTCGTGACCCCCCCCCCCACTCTTGAAAAATGGGGGTGTCGACCCCCCACTTTTTGCGATGTTGAGTATGCTTTTTTAGCTTTTATGTCAGTGAAGCAGGCGTCAGCAACACCAACAAATATGTACATCAGATTCAGAATCGCTTCAAGAGCTCCCTAAAGCCAATTAGCCAATTAGCTTAAGTTCAATTAGCTGTGGGCGGGGAACACCAGCACAACAATACTTTTAAGTAGCCACCATTCTAGTACCTTTTTATCCCTCAAAGGATTGGACGCGCCAAAACTGCCCCGAGCGTTCGTCTGATCGTTAAAAAAATGGTCGCAGTCGATTCGTCGGATCAGTACCTAACTACAAAACTACAAACTAGCCTCAGCCCCATGGCTACCGTCACAACTAGCTGTGCACATGTTGTGGACAGTAGGGGACAGGGAGTCAGATGAGACCGTCTCGGGCTTTCGCAAAGAAAAGAAGTCGCGCAAAAAGGAGCCGATTGCAACGAAACTTCCGGTGCGCTCAAGTTAATCACCTACTTAAAAATAAATCGATATCCCTGATTCAAATTTTTCATAACATGCTTTTAACCCGCGCCCTGCTGGGGGGGGGGGGGGGTGTTTGAACACCCCCCTTGTGGTTTTTCGCGAATATCGCGCCGCCGTTTTTGGTACACCTTATCATACATCAATTCTACACATGTTGTGAAAATTTCAGACCAAGGTCATTCAAGGTCAGGTCACCAGGTCACTTAAAGTGACCTCACCTTATAAAAAGTTTCAATGTCTGTCATAGCTACACCGAGTGACCGATCGCTTTGAAACTTTCAGCGATTGCTGAGAGCAATAGCATGTACAAAATGTATTTCTCACAATTTTGATGTCGATGACCTAAGGTCAGGTCAATTTTGCGACCTCCCCATTATAAGTCAATGGGAGAAAATTGAAATGCGCCTCTTTTGGACGAAAGACATTATAAACACTCCCAAACACTGAATTACAAGTGGTTTAGACACACTGAACATGAAAATGATGTCCGTGACCCCTGTTTATGCCCTGAGGTCATCTTAGGTCACGAATGGTATCTAACAGTTTTTCGCAAATAACTTTTGATAGAGGCATGCTAGAGCGATGAAAACGCCTTAGATGTGTTCAGCTCGACGATACGGATCGACTGATATGCAACATGACCCTTTCCGGTCAGGTCATGACCTTGACCTGAGGTCAAATTTTCAAGTTGACCTTTCAAGGTCAAGTTATAGTTCATTCGATGCGTCTTGACGAGAGGAACACGATGCCGGTAAAAGTAAGCTTGTACAAGGCTTGGGTCAAAAGTTATTGCAGAAAAACTGTTTCCGAAAAAATCGGCTATTTTTGCAGTTTTTGCCCCCTGCAGGCAAAACCGTTGACGTTAGGTCAAATAAAATTATTCAGAAAGGGCGTTAATAGGGCTATCGAATGCGCTTTTCCGCGGCGCTGTATCTCTATTGGTTCCCGAGTTATGCGTTAGCTTCTTGGAAATTGTCAACATTCGACCTGGAAATCGGCGAAATTTTGCATTCAATGACCTCTGGTGACCTGACCTTTGACCTGACCAAAAAATTGACCGAAGTGATTTCCTCATTATTTTTGACGCTCTTTCGAACGCCGCCTTCCGCGTATCGCTACGTGGCCCAGGAGCCGAGTTAGAAGGGGGGGGGGGGTGTTCAACCCCCCCCCCCCCCAGCAGGGCGTGGAAATCCAGGACCCCCAGCCGGGCGCGGGTTAATTTAGGTATAGGATAGTTTTTGGAGCTGATTTTGAACTTAGCGCCAATCTGAACATTTAAGAAGTAGTTGTGTTGCTTATACATATGTATAACATGTTAGGAAGCAATCGGTGGTGGTCATCCACTATTAGGTACTGGTTGATCTGACCTGACCTGATCTACCCCAAATGCATGGAGTCATCATCTTCGTTCAAAACTAAGATAACATTCGTAATCAGAACCTCGAAAAACCATCACAACTTACATTCGCAAAGTTCTAGCAGGTCCCGAGTTTCCCTACTTATTGGCGATGACCTGAGTCCTGAGATGACCCGAAACCTTGTAAATGGGTATCATCGGCTTTCTCTCGTCACGGGCAGCATGCTCTTTTTCTGCAAACCTCTAGATCGATCAGGGCTCGAAAGCATACCTCAGCGTTACTTTAGTATACGTTATACCACGGTACATAGAATACTAGGTAACACCGGTTTGTCCGCTCAACACAGGGTCAATGGTCACCACTTTCTTCAGCTGACGTCTGTGACCTTGAGCTGACCTAGGACGATAGACAGCTGACAATTTAAGCTATTTGGAACTCACTTGACAGCTGAAGAGCGTGATTTAAATTATAAATATTTGTCAGACACTGACAAAAGATATTATTCACCTATCATTTTTTAAGCATATTCTGTCATAAATTAGCTGACTCCCTCTGGTCTTCCATACGGCAGAAAATGCAAGTGCAAATTCTGTCATCTTGAAGTGAACCAAACGCTTATGATACACATGATCGTTTCTCTCAGAGCACAACGAAAACTGCGAGAAAACAAGAGAGAGTCGGACTCTACAAATGGATGAATTTGGAAGAAAAATAGCTGTATTTTTTCCAGTGGAAATATTGACTTTGAAAACATTGGCCATCAACTTTAAAATTGCCCCCAAATATGAAAATGTGTGAATTGACAAAACAGGCAATCTTGCTGTTTTTGCCCAAGTTTGTTCATGATTTAGAGAGATTCGATGCGAAAATGCACTGATAAATACTTTTGAAAGCGAGGTCTCGATCCGTGTATTAATTTTGATTTTTAATTTAACGCTAGTCCCACTTTTTCTTCCAAGAAAATATTTTTGTCAATTTTTCACTAATTCTTTTATGCGTCATTGCTTTAAAAATAAAGAGAGTCGGACCGTAATTCTTTCAAAATGACTGATTGTGCTCAATATCTATCGGAATATATCAACAGATCCGTCAGACTCATTGGCTAAATATGTTTAAATTGCATTTTTCTTACTTTCTGCAGATTTTGCTGCAAAATTTTACTGTAGTTTTAGCTGCGTTTCCTGCAGATTGTGTTCACAGACCAATGGGAGACAAGTATTTCTTCATCAACAGGTTTATTCGCCACCAATTGGTCTAGCGGGTGTTTTTCGTATGCGCAGCTTATGTCACAGCTGCGTAAGAACACGTTCACTATAAGTCATAGAGGCCTCCACGGAGGCCGGTGGATGACGTCACGGAAAATGCCGCCGGGCGCAGTCAGCTGCTGGTAGGCAAAACATTCCGTGGTAGGCGTTGCGCCACTATAGGGTGCGGCGGGAATTCGAGAGGATGGTGGAGGTTAATCACGTTTTATCGTGAAAAATGCCGACTTCTTGTGCTGCTTATGGTTGCACTTCTCGCTCTGGAAAAGATAAGGTGTCTTTTTATCGGTTCCCCAAAGATAATGACCGGTTGAATGCTTGGGTACGTGCTACCAGGAGGAA